AAAAGTCTAGGGACTAATTTAGAAATAAAATCATAGTTTGAGGACGTACAATGAAATTAAGTCTATATTTATATCTAAGTGGGAGATAGTTAGATTATACAGACATAACAAATATAATAAATAAATTATTGTGTTATTTATTATTATAAAATATACTTCATATTAAAGTGATCTAATACTTTAAAGTTGATTGGATTTTATTAATTAAATAAGGTATGTGTTACATATATGTGTAGATATACAAATAATTAATTTCTAATTGATGATAAATTAATTAAAAATTAAATTTAATATGCACGAACCAAGCAATTAGGAGTGTAAACAAATCGAGTCGAGTTCAAATATTGCCGAGCTCGACTCGAACTCAAAAACTTTAAATGTAAACTCGACTCGACTTAAAAACTCACGAGCCTAAAATTTTCAAACTCGACTCAAACTCAAAAAATAATATTAAAACTCGACTTAAACTCGAAAAGACTCAAATTCAAAAAAAAATCAAAAATTCAACTAAAATTCAAGACTCGAGCTCAATTCAAACTTGATTCAAACTTAATTCAAACTCGATTCATTACCACGCAGCTCCATAAGTTAAACTAATGAGTTTGAACTTTAATTTATAAGATCACTTATGAAGCAATTACTTCTATCTTAAAAATGTGGGATATCAAGACTTCACTTCAAATTACTATCGCTTTCTTCTAATCCAATCGCCACTTTTCTCTCGTCAAATTATCATACCGATGGCTCGTACCAAGCAAACTACCAGGAAATCAAACGCGCCGGAGAGGGTTTTCTCCATCTCTCATTCTATTACTCAGGTTCCCTTTCTTACTTTTTTTTTGCTTTCATTTCTACTTTTTTTTACTGATTAAACTCATCTGTTTGTATGCATAAATGCTTCTTATATGAATTCTCTTTTCCTTGTGTCCTTCTTCGTCTTTCTCTGATTAGAATTATCGGATTATATATATCGAATTTGGATTTTCTTGTTCTAGGCTTGGCCTTTGTCCCCTGGATCTCTCATATTTCGCTGGGATAGTTTGAGACGAACAAGGATTTTTTTTAGTGTTTTTTACGGATGGAACACTTATACCCATTTTATGTGTTTCGATGCTCCTCTGCACTAGATTTTACGGATGGAACACTTATAGCTTGCTTTCCTCTTACTCTATTCTCTAGCTCATTTGATTCTGGTTGGGCTTCTGGGATCTCAGCCACAGTTATCCAAGGATTGTTGGATATGTTGGTGGAGGGGGTGCAGACAATGTTAACCAGTGTTTCCTTGAAGTCTCTCGGTTTGGCAGTACAGAACTTGTTCGCATTTTATTGCAGGTGGGTATTTTTTCTTTGGAGTGGAATTTGAACTTTTGCTTATTTATTGCCAACATTTACAACCAACATTTTCAAGATGCTTATTTGCAATTTATTCATTATTTGTTGAAAATGCATCGACATTGACCAAGGTTCGGTTCTGTGAGAGGTTGGGTGAAAAAATAGTGCTACTATGTGCATCCTGTACACAGAGCATTGATATGTTAGGAAATTACCACTCCAGCCTTTGAAGTGAATAAAATCTCATTATATTTGGTGATTGATTCTCACAATTTATCTTATCCTTGGACAGTACAAGTTTCTTGCTTCTTTTTTAATAAAATCTCACTCTACACACTTTAGATATGGTTATATGTAGTCATGAAATTATTCAGGGTTCTTGCATGTAAACTAATTTCAGCTTAGAGATATCAGAGGTATTGAAATGGCAATCTAAATCCCTTAAATATAGTCTGATCCATTTATGTCATAGTCATAGCATTCCATTTTATTCTTATACTGTGTAAGATTTGTTATTCCCTCCCTCTCTCTCTCTTAAATGTGATGAAGGATTTAGATTGAAAAACATGCAAGTGAATGGGAATGCTCCTGTGTTAAATTGTACCGGTTTTTTTCTTGTTCAGATACAAATGAGCCGACAGATTCCATGGAAAACTTAAATTGAGAGCCAAAGAATCACACCATAATGTGGTTTTTACTTTTTCTCGTAACCATGGAAATTCACGTGTGCTTTCTCTTATTTTGCTATAAGAAAAGTTTTTTCCCTTTTTTTAATAGGAGAAAATATTATTATTGTCATTATTATTACTATTATTTTTGTACTGTAGTATGATATTTCCTTAATTATCTTTGTTGGATTATGTGGTATTTGTCTGGCCTAGATCGCCCAACGGAATAGCTTGGATGTTGATGTTGATCTTGCCTTGGGTTTTGCCTTACATTATTGCAAGATTGGAACAATGGAGTGTCTAGTAGAAGAGGGCAATGCCATGGCGTTTTTGGGACCTTTAATGAGGGCAGCTGAAAGAGGCTGCATGCAGGTTGTCCAGTGGTTTGTTAAAAGCAATGTTTTTAAAATCGGACCGGACATTGAACCGGTGAAGGTATTGGTTCACTGGTTCAACTGGATTCAATCACGGTTGAATCGGATTTTATATAAAATAATTTTTTTTAATTTTACATAATGTTCAAAGCAGTATTAATATATATGTAACACTTTTTTTAAGTTTACAATATTAAAAGGTATAAAAATATCACAAGTCATAACATATATAAATTAAAAACCATAAAATTAAGTGAAACAAAATGATTCAAATCAACTACAACATAATATTTAAGGTAAAACATATTAAACAATAAATATAATTACATAACTATAATCAAAAAAATAAAATTGGGGCTTAAAAAATCATAACAAATGTCATTTGGTTTAATTTATTTTTTAAAAAAAACAATCCCACATGGCTAAGAAACATAGAAGAGCATCTCAAAAGTTTAAAGAGTAAAAATATGAGAATAAAACAATCTCACATGGCTAAGAAACATAGAAGAGCATCCAAACTTCTATAAATAATAGAGGTAATTTGACATTCAAAATCATGGAGCCTTTTGGTGAGCACAGAGCGAACTATTCTTTCGCTTCAATTGAGCGTAAATTTTAGGCTTCAATCGAACTTCTAAATTTTTTTTGAGTTTGAGCTTTTTCGAGTTCAAGTTTTAATATTATATTTCGAGTTCGAGTTGAACTTGATAATTTTTAGCTTGTGAGTTTTTGAGTCGAGTTGAGCTTACTTTTAAAATTTTCGAGTTCGAGTCGAGCTCAGCAATACTCGAATTTGACTTGGCTCGTTGAACAAACGACGTCATTTGGTTTAATTTTTTTTAAATAAAAAAAGTAAACCGGTTGTTCAAACTGGTTTTTAGCCGGTTTGCCCCGGTTTTACCAGTTTTCAGTTGATTCATTGTCAGATCGGTTTTGTGAGGTAACCGGACCGAACATGCCACTGGTTCACGGTTCAACCGGTTGAACCTGCCTGTCTGGTCCGGTCCGATTTTGATAACCATGGTTAAAAGAGGTTGTCGAGACATTGAGCTCTGTCTGGCCCTAACTGCTGCTACTTCCAGCAGCCAAATTGGTGTAGCTGCATATCTTCTACCCCATGTTCCTAAGCATGTCCTAACGGCACTAAGCATTGAAATTCTCAAGGCTGCGGGTGAAAGAAGTGGCGGATCTCACGATGTAATTTTTCTATGTAATGTGTTTATTATGTATATAATTCGTCTTAATGTCGATCAAATTTTAAGAAATAAAATATTATATGAAATGTATTTCAAGTATATTTTTTAAAATATTAATAATTTTGTAATAAAAGGAAATGTTATTCTCCATAAAGGTTTTGAGTTTAAATAAATGTATCTGTAGGATGTGTGAGCATTGTTAATTGATTAAAAAAAATTAAACATATATTACTTTATAACTATCCCAAATTTTACTTCCATTCTAAAACGCTTTAATTGTTTATAATTATATATATCATAATCCTATCATGTATTTACCTTAACTATTCATATGATTCAAACTCGTCATTTTTCATTAAAAAATTGGTGATTGTATGATATTGATGTTAACTTGTTAACTATGGTATAATAAAATATGATCCCATTGTTTTAGTTGTATTTGTACATCAAATCTCCATTTACATTATGTCGTCGAGTCAGTTCTTGAAATATTATGTTGGTGAGTCAGTGCTTGAAAGCAACGACGGTGTCGATAGTCATCATTAAGACATGATAAAATCATGTCTCAATAAGCAAGTTGTGTATATTTATTTTGTATGTTGATATGTTTATGTATAAGTATGCGAATGATTTATTTAGGAGTCATATAACATCATTTTGCATAATTTGTATGTTACCTTCATGTGCATAATTTAATCCTTATCATATAATTGAGTTTAGAGTTTAGGGTTTAAGATTTAAGGTTTAGGGTTTATGGTTCATGATTCAAGATTAAGGGTTTAGGGTTTAGATTTTAGGGTTTAGGCCTTAGGATTCATTACAAATACATTAATTACCGATTTAAGAGGTAAGTACAATATAATATCTTGATATTAAATGCATTACAATATGGTTTAGTTGTATTATAGAATTTTTAATATATTTTTAAAATTTTATAATTATCAATAATGTATTTTTAATATATTCTTAATAATGTAATTTTAAAAAATCTAAAATTACAATATAATATTTTTTTCGAGTTGCTCATGAGCTTTTCGAGTCGAATATCAAATAGGTCGTTTCGGCTCGTTAAGAGCTCGAGTCGAGTCCATTCGATCCCAATATTTATCGAGCCTTTATCGAGTCGATCTCGAATAGCTCGCGATCTGTCTCGTCTCATTTACAGCCCTGCAAGCCATAGTTAACATGGTGATTGCTATCTTTAAAAGTTTTAGGTTCTAACACCATAGATTGCAATGATGTTTGAACTTTCATTCTTATTCTTTAAGATAATGTTCGAATGTTTGTGAATGAAGTAAATTAAGTTAGGAGGATCATCCTTGCCTTTGTAATACTCCATCTAGATTAATGGATTAATAAATCGGATATGGATGATTATAAAATAAAATAATTATTCATTTATACTTGAGCTTAGCCAATATAATCTGGGTATTGGCTACTGCTCCTGCCAATTCTTGCAAAGAAACAAATATCAAGATTTGGCAGCTTTGTTTATCCATGAATTTAACTGGTACAGTATGAAAAGCAATCCCGACCGATAAAGGAAGCTCTCTTAACGAACCTGCCTTTGATTCTAGGCCTTTTCTCCGCATTCAACTTCCTCACTTGGTACCTTATCTTCTTCGAAAACAGTCTCCTACTTCGTTTCTCTCTGTACCTTGATACCCTTGCCTCTCTTTCACCGTCTGTAATATTTCTTTTTCCAAGCCTGCATATTCCTCCTGTGCTCTCTTTGGTATTCTTCGACCCCTGGATTTCCCACATATTCACAATAATTAGCTAGAGATTAATCATGGTTTCCATTATCAACAGTTTTCCTGCATTGAATTTGCTATATTGTAGTAGCTTTAGGATCAGTTTGAACTGTTCCTCCTTCTGCAACTATACGTGTATATAGAAGTGAACCCATTGAGCCACCTCTGTGTAAAAGAGAGTAGAAGTCTGGGGTTCGATCAACTACGTTTAGGTATATGTATATTGTTAATGACTAAGAAAGATTATAAACATATATTACCTTCTAATCATCAATATCTATATATATATATATATATATATATGTTTACTGGGTGTGTGTAGGAGAGAACCAAAGAAGAAAAGCAGGAGAGGGATATATATATATATATATAATTACCATGAAATCATCAAGGTTGAATTGGGGTGTGCTTCCTGATGTCCAGGGAGAGCCTTGGCTGGCCCATGCAGTGATGACAGACTCATAATTCAGACTCAGTAGCATGTTCCTCTTCATTTCTGTCTTACTTTCACCATCTGTTAGCGGTGTCTCCGCCGCTGGAACCACCTTCTCTTCCTCGTGGTGGTCAACGGTCGTCGGTGACTCGTAACCGAAGCTCCAGTCTAGCGATGCTCTTGTTACATCAAAATCTGAATCAAAGCAACAAGCTGCTTTAATACCCTTTTCTTCTTTAACTTCCATTTTTCTGCTTTCATGGAAAAAATTACTTTCATCTTCCTCTTTGCAGTCTAACAATTCAACTCCTAGTAAGCTCTCAACATCAGCAGGAAACTGGTCAAGATCCAAATCTGATGGTATAAATCCATCATCCAACTCGCACTTTCGTTCATCTTGATAACCATGAACCATTAAATTCCCATTTTCATACACCATATCAGACAATTCTGCAGAAAAAGGATCGAACACAGGCACTCTACAAATCAGCTGCTCTTCTTCGTTCTCATCGGCCGACTCATCTTCACAACCAACATCAGGAACAAGAGGATCAATAGGGTTCAAATTCAACAGTTTTCCCTCCCCTTTCTCCAAAATGGACTTGTTTTGCCTTGGGGTTCTTGCCTTTCGAGTGAAACCTTGGTACCATGCTGGTGCATCATCATCTTGATTAGCAGTAACCGAAGCAGTGAACTTAGAAGTTGAAGTTTCAAGCCTAACCCTTGTATGTCTACAGGCTAACTGATTAGCGGAGTGGACTGAAGTATCACAGCCTTGGCAAAGGAAGGCATCATCGTCTGAACAGTACCAACGAGCTCGCTTTAGCAAACAGCCATCGCAGGCTCTGGCCGTCTTGCCTCCCATGGCATTCGCTGCTCTCTTATCGGAGATCATCGGCTTAGCTAACGTTTAGGAATGAGCAGTGCTGAACAAAGGAAACAAGCTCATAAAGCGAAGTGCCTTTAACTAGCAATCTATTTATTTTGTGTAGACCATGGTTCAATAATTGGGTTTTGAGAGTTATGTTTTTTACTTGTGGTCGGTCCCCTCTTGTTTTTTACTTGTGGTCCCTATGGTTTTTCTCCGAGACATTATTATGGGTGTAAATGAACTAAATGTTTGGTGTAAAGTTGGTGAATCATTCTTATAATATTTATTTATGTTCGTTTGTTAAGTTAAATGAATGAGTATGAACAAAAAAAATTATATTCATTTAATAAATGAACGAATACGAACAAATGTATGTTTTGTTTGTTTATTTCACGGACACGCTCGTTTATGGGCTCTTCTACCGATTCGTTCATTTATGTTCATGAAAAAACTTGTTTACCTCATTATCCTTTTCCTTTTATTTCTTTTTTACATTTTAAATATTAGTGAAGGTAGGGACTAAATTAAACACATGATAAAAATTAAAATTTAAACTATGAATTTTAAAAAGTTTAAACACTATTGGCATAATTTTACTATTTTAGCTTTGCAAATGAAATGGTAAAACTAAAAATTGAACATATAAACGAATGTTAAACGAACATGTTCGTGAATGCTAAATGAACACATTCGTGAATGCATAAACGAACACGTTTGTGAATACATAAACGAACACGTTTGTGAATACATAAACGAATACATTCACGAACAATAAATAAATGAACACGAACCGAACATGAATATGAACACCTTCAAAAATAAATAAACACAAACATAATCTTATTCATTTAAGCTCGATTCATTTACACTCGTAGTGGAAAAACACATTGGAAAAGAAAAGTATACGAATCATATTAGCGGTTATATAACAGAAGAGTTCATGAAGAACAATCAACTTTTAGACCGTTCCTTGTTTACCCAAAAGATCAAGCTTGGCAATCATTATACTTACTTTGATTATAAATGATATTGATATTTTATTTAAAATTTAGAGATTAAATTAATATTTCATCTAGAGTTTAAGGAATAAATAAAAAATAACCTATTTTATTATTGTTCCATGTCACCAACGATAATTAATCTCGATGAATAAAATGTAACAAATTGATAATATAAATGATTAAAATGTAAATTTCTAAAAGTCAATAGTTAAAAGTGAACAAAATTTGAACTAAAATGATTATTCTCATAATTTACCCAAATAAATAATACATATTCATTTTCTTTATGTAAACTAAGTCACGTAGATAATTAAAAATTTATCATACAAAATTAACTAATTATTAACCCATAAATTAAAACATAAAAATAATAGTAACATGTAGTATAAAAATTATTGGGTAAAGTACACAAATAGTCCCCTAACTATAAGAGATTACTTTGCTAAGTCCCTTGACTATTAAAAATTACAAAATGATCCCTTGACTATATGACACTATTTTTTGAGTCCTCCAACTATTAAAATTTACAAAATAGTCCCCAACTATTTATATGTTCCAAACTCGTCATTTTCTGTTTAAAGATTGACAACCATTTGAACTGAACGTTCACCTGTTGACTAGAATATGGTAAAATCTGATCCCAAAATCGTTTGAGTTGTATTTTTTAGATTGACTATTTGTTTACATTATGTCGTCGAGCCAATGCTTGAAAATTATGTCGTCGAGCTAGTCCTTAGAAGCAACGATGGTGCCAGTAGACATCATTGAAATATGACTTCATCATATTTTAGTCAATAAGTTAACATCCAGCTCAGACAGTCAACAATTTTTTTAACAAAAAGGACGGGTTTTGAACATATGAATAATCAGGTGTCATTTGTAATTTTTAATAGTTAGAGGACTTAATAAAATAACACCTTGTAGTTGATGGATCATTTTATAACTTTTAATAGTTGAGTGACTTAATAAAATATCAAAGTAACATTTGTGCTCTCTAGCCAAAATTAATTTTAGTGCAATTAAAATAATAAAAGTCTTACAGTGTGTGCTTTTGCGGGGCTTATCTCAGTGAACGTTTATTGGCGGAGACATTGAAGTTCATCCCAATCCTTGAATTCTCATTGGCTATTTGTCAATTCCAAAGGATTTCTCCTCCTTGACGATGACTGTTGTCTTCTCAAAGTAAAAGTGTCAAGCGGTCCCGGTGACGGACGTACATGTATTTCATTTTAGGACGAGCATATGTTCACTCTAGGATCTCAATTTTTTTTTTATGTTTAGTTGTTTATTTTATTATTAGTGTCTATTATGAAATTTTATTTATGCATATCTTATACAAAAAAATTTCTATTATTAATACATATCTGTTCACTTAAAAAAATATTTTTGATTCTACCACAGAGCGGTCCATTCGTCGGAGTTGCTTTCGGTGAAGGGCTACCATCAATTTCTGTGGAGGTTGATGTGTGGAAGACGATGGGCAAAGCAAATCCATGGACACCTGAAACTTATGTTGGGGCCACTGTAAGTGCACAGAATTATAAGGAAGAAACTTGGCCATATACACACACGTATAACAACAAACAAATCTGCTTCATCTTTTTTATTCAGTGATGGATGGGCTTAAGAAAACCATATCATATATGTTATTCTTCATAGGTGTAGCTATCGAGCAATGATAGATCCTTTTCACTGCAAATAACATTGCAAATAAATTCAATATTCCTCTTAAACAAAGAAATTTAGTGAGATATTGTATTTTATATTAGCATGAGATGATTACGAGATATTATCTAATTAGAATTTTTTTAATCATTGACAATGTACATACTTTGCCGCTTAATTTTAAAAGGTGTTAGGCACACCGAGATACAAAGGATCTCTAAAACATAGGTGCAAGACGAAGACGAGCGCCTTTCATAAGAGACGAACGTTTTATGCTAAAAAATATATAAATTAATATCTTATACTCACACTCAATACCCACTAATCATTCCTAAATGACTTAATGTTCTCTTCCTCTAAACTATTATAAAAAATGAACTTTTATATTCAATAAAATTTATTAAATAAATATTATTTAATTTAATGTTTTATTTTTTAAAAAAAGATGTAACTATTATTATAATTAATAAAAGAAAAATAAAAAGTGTCAACTCGGATCTATTCCTAACGATAGTTATGTCTAGGACTTCAAATAAATGCAGTGCATTTTTTGGAAAATTAAAACTGTCATTATGATTAATAAAAGAAAATAAAGAGTGCTAGCTGGGCATCAGTCCCAACAACGAGTCAGATGTCTAGGACTTAAAATAAATGCAGTGTACAATATAAAATATGAAGGAGAGAAAAAGCATCAGAAATTGATAGTTGAAACAATAATTACCTTTGTATCATAATTCATAATATGATGAGTGTCCTAACGTCCTTTTTTTTTAAAGTTTTTTATGCTTTTAAAGAAAGTTTATTTATGATTTATTATATGAAATTACTTAATTTGATTTGAAGTCGTCATCGATCTTTAAGTTAAGTAGATCGAATATTTAAAAACGTCTTTTAAAACATTAAAAAATATTTAAAGGACGTAAATCGGTGTACGTTTACCAAAAACTCAATTTAAAGGGTTTGAGAGTCAGTTACTCGTGGGGAAGAAAAATCACCACCACGATGCTCAAAATTGGTACCTAATCGCTTATACGTTGTCATAGAAATAAAATTATGAATTCGAGTGGAAAATTAGAACACAATCCATTTGTTGAAGTTGAATTTATTTGCTTCAAATTAATTATAAGGGAAAACCATTTTATTTTGAAAATGAATCTTAGGATTCGCACATCCTCCAACGGGAAGGCTACCCCATTTATTTATCTTTATAAAATAACATTACCTCCTCATTTTATCAAAAATTAATAATCGAATAAAATAAATAAAAAAATTATACCAGTAACTACATAAGATAATTTACTATTTAGAGAAACAGATGTTGCGAATGTTTAAGATTAAATAAAAAAAGAAATAATTATTATTACTTTTAATTAAAAAAGCAAACTCAATTTATTTCGGTTACACTTTTCGTTCGAATGTCACCTTGGATCACACTACTTCTATCAAGTTGTGATTTCCACGAATATTCTACGATAGATGTTCTCGAAAATACACGAGTAAAAGACAAACAATATTAAATAATAGGAACATTTTACAATTTCTTGAAAATATTGATTCTAAAAAAGTTAATGCGTATATATAAATATATATAATGGTATTTTACAACTTTGAAAGTAGTCATCTTTAAAGAACACGAGTTTAACTAACTAACTTTAAAAAGATAATAATAACAATAAAACAGAGCTTTAATATTTAAGCAAAGTGAAATAAAATAAACAATAAACTACAACCAATGATCACAAACCAAGATTACGGTTAAATCAACATAGTGGAGGAACTACAGGGGGTAACATGCAATAATTCATATTATTTCAAGCAAGAAACAAATTAGAGTAGTGACCAAAATGAACACAAAGCTAAATCTAAGGACCCGAAGAATAAGTCAAGCATATTCTAACATATGATAGATATAAAGGACTAAAATAACATAAATCACAAATTGACAGGCAAATCCAGAAATTTAGCCAAAATGCATCAAGAACAAATAATGATTGGAATGTATGCGCATATAAATTCGAGTCTCGAAACATAAAGAGAAAAACTTTCAATTGATGATCAAAATGAAACATTACATACGACGGATGACCTAAAGCGCTAATATCCTAGGCGCTAAAACGCACTCCCTCTGCCTTCTAAAACGACGTCGTTTGGTGAGGGGTACGTATACAAAAAAACAAGGCCAAAAATGGCCTTAAGCTTTCAATTGCCCTATTTTTTTTTGTTTTTTTGAAAAAGATGAGCCTCAAAGGCTCTCATTCTCTCATTCTTCCCCTCACCGAGGAAACAAACCGCCCTCACCTCTCTGACCGACCACCGTAGATCGGTGGCACTGGCTATGGAAACAACCCTAAAAGTATCATCTCTAAACCCTAAACATCTTAAAACAAC